GCCATCACAATCGAATGACCATCTTACAATTGAGCGCCGATTGCAAGAAGCTTTGAGGCTGCCTCTTCAACTTCAATTGCAATACCTACACCAGACTCCGCATCCTACTCAACTATGATTAACCACGAACTTAATTGCTGCTCAGTCAGGCAAACGAGGACCCCATTTAGAGAGTGTGTATCAATACTTGCTGACAATTCCTCCAACGTGTGGAATCGGAAAGAGTCTTCTCCTCCTCTGGATACCTATGCAATAAGATACGTTCTAGTTTGCATGATGACACTCTTGACAAATTATCTTTCCTACGCTCAAATCTTTCTCGAAATTGAATTTTTATCCTTAAAATAAAGTAATTCATGGTTTTTAAAACGGTGCTGTCTTCTTTCTAAACATTAATACATAGTTGGGCAAAATGCAATAATGATTACATTTTCTATAATCACAATTGCTATCATTATATATTGAATTACGAGTGATTATGTTTACATTCTAATGCAATTAATTTTTTTTTGCAAAGTAATGCATTGCAAAGTAATCGTAATTACAAGGTAATGTATTACTTTGAATGGATTTACTGTCCAACACTGCATTAAGAGATGTGGTCTAAGAGTTCCAAGAACAGTAATTTTTTCCCAGATGTGTGTACAGTAATTGACAGATAATTTCAAACTGTAACCCAAAAGCAATGATTTAGTTCATAAGCAGGCGCAAAATATATGGCTTTCAGGTTGTTTTCATCGAAGTAAGTGCCACGTCATTGGCACTATATAAAAGAAAAAAAGAAAATATAACGAACGAAACGATATACATCTTGGCGTAGAAAGACGAAAATGTTTTTCAATCCCGGGATTGAGAAAAAAGCAATCCCGAATCCAGGGATTGAAAATATGTACCGGGATTGGAGGCCCTACTCATGGTGTCCTAACATTTTCCATGCAAATTTTCATAATGTTCGATTCACATTACCGACCAGGAAAATTAGGGAATTTTAGTCGTTTCTGGGGAAATTACAAAAATTACAGGAATTTAATAACCTCGAAGATTTGCATATTTAGAGTAGTAAGGAACAATGAAAAAATGTAATATTCTTTGTAGGAATATTTCTGAGTCTGTTTTGTATAAATAGGAATTCAAACCTTTTAACTTCATTCTTTTTATTTTATTTAATCCACTTCCATTTCTCTCTATATATATGTAACGTTTCAATGATGAACTGTAACACGCCAATATGCAGAGTATATTGTTTTGCGTCAAGAAAGAGAGAACAATCAACCGTCTGACTAAATTTATTTCAATCACGCGCCTTTTATATAGTTACAAATATTTACATAATTCCTAACAGCGTAAAAATTTACATCTACTAATAATTTATAAGCAGAATGTGACTTATATATATATATATATATATATATATATGAAATAAAGTTGTTGAAGTCCTGGTAGCTCTTGTTGTACTGTGTTGACCAAGAGGAACAGTCAGGATGTAGAGTTTTCCAGTACTCTCTGCACCTTGGAAGACCTTTAAAAGTTCTCACAAAATACAGGCAGTCGTGGTCGAGGCAGAGTGGAAAGCTGGGGATATCCACACAAAAAACGAAGACACAGTTACACTAAGAAAGTTCCGTTAACAGATAAAAGCTGAGCTAGAAGCGCAAGATGGAGACATAGAAGTTTCTTACTCGTCTACATGATAGTTGAGATCGACATAAGGTACGACCGACGTGAGCTGACGCTAAGGGTGAACTAAACTCAACTGACTGAACTGTCTGAACTGTCAAGTCCCTGTAAGGTGATGATTTATAGGTTAAAGACGGGGTGACCTTATGTGACAGGGGCGTTTTTGAGAAAGGGCGCCTTTACCTGTCCAGGTGTGAGAGGGGTCTCTGCATTCCACCACATGTGACAGTGTGGGTGGCCTGTCGTGGGAATTGTGAATCTACCTGATTTATGAGTTCCATCTTTAGACTGTTGTTTTGGTAATACTATGCTCGATCTCTGCTTTAGCTCAACTCTTAAATCTATTACATATTTTATTTATTTATCCACTTTGTACAAATTACATTACATAGGGTGATGTAAAGACACAGATTAATCATGCGCATAATTATTTATAGATGTGTTTCTATAACAACATGGCAATCTTGTTATAGTTATCTACACAATATGAGGTTGTTGTTTTAAATTACCATATATATATATGTAATGAGTTGAGGTTTGGTTGTTGACTCTCGCTATTACTGTGTTGACGAGAGGAACAGTCAGGATGGGGAGTTTTCCAGTACCTCTCTGCACCTTGGAAGACCTTTTACAATTCTCACAAAGTACAGGCAGTCGTGGTCGAGGCAGAGTGGAAAGCTTGGAAATGTCTACACAAAAAACGAAGACACAGTTGCACTAAGAAAGTTCCGTTAACAGATAAAAGTTGAGCTAGGAGCGAAAGATGGAGATAGAAGAGTTCTTACTAACTACATGTTAGATGAGATCGACATGAGGTACGACCGACGCGGGCTTGCACTGAGGGTGAACTAACTGTCAAGTGACTGTAAAGTGATTGTATTTATAGGTTAAAGACGGGGGGCCTTATGCGCCAGGGGCGTTTCTGAGAAAAAGGGGGCCTTTTCCTGTCACCAGGTGTGAGAGGGGGCTTTGTATTCCACCAGCTGTGACAGTGTGGGTGGTCTTGTTGTGGGAATTCTAAATCTATCTCGATTTTGACGTTATGACTTCTATCTCTTGCTTAGCTCAACTCTTAAATCTATTACAGATTTTTATTTATTTATCCTGTTTGTACAAATTGCATTACATATGCTGATGTAAAGACACATGTCAATAATACGTATAATCATTAACAGATGTGTTTCTATTATACCACATTAAAATCTTATTTAAGTTATATACAATATGGGGTTGTTGGTTTAAATTACCATATATGTATAATCTAAAAACTCAAATATTTCTATATTTTAAAAAATATATATTTTATTTTTATTCATTCACATAATTCTACTTTTCGTTATCATCGTTTTTAGAAAGACTTTCAGTTTTGTTGTAAATATGCGTAGTTAACATATCTATCCTTTTAAATCACTAATATAGGATTAACTTTATAAATTCTATATAATGTGAAAATAACTAATGTGTAATATTTCCTCAAGTAATTGAAATAAAAGCTACTTGATGGTAAATAATTTATATATATTTTTTATCACGACTGCACCTTCAACTCTTTATCTTATCGATCCTTTGTCTTCTCAACCCTTTATCTAACAACAAACAACTTATTCATTACATATATATATATGAAAAAATAGTACAAATGTAATATTGTACTGGGATAAGGTGCATAAATTAAGAAAAAGGCATCTCCTTATCGTGCAACTGAAAGTTGCTAAGGCTTGCGCCATCTATCGGAATAAATATCAACTATTCTCGTTGATTTTTAATTATTCCAGAATTGGCCAAATACCCATTCTTGATTAATCAAGAAAAGCTAACCACGGACGCGTTTCGGGCTGTTGGCTCTCATCAGCGTGGTGCAAGCTGTACCTCAACGACCAAAAGAAATTGGTCATTAATAAGGCATCCTGAAAAATCATGAAACGGGTATATAGATCGAAAATTTGCCCGAGAGGAAATAATCCATAGAAGCAATGGGCGCTTCTCCGTCAAAATAAACGTCAAAACCTGACGCCATCTATTGACCGTCGCCGCAACTAGCGGCCTCGGGTCGGTGACAAAGCCACAACACCAGCTTTGGCAAACTGAGAAGCGTCCCACCTATGTGGCCCAGGCCACATTGCCAGCAAAACACCTCTTTGGTAGATTGTGAAGATTCCATTAGATCCCGTGTGGATCTCATGAATAAAGTCGGTCAAAGACTGACGAGGGCCATTAGCTCGTAACCATGGTCTCTAGGTGGACGCTTCTCAGTTTGCCAAGCTGGGTTGTGGCTTTGTCACCGACCCTAGGCCGCTAATTGCGGCCACGGTCAATAGATGGCGTCAGGTTTTGACGTTTATTCTGACGGAGAAGCGCCCCATTGCTTCTATGGATTAATTTCCTTCCGGCAAATTTTCATCTATGTTCTAGCATAGATTTGGCCCAGCCACATTGCCAGCAAAACACCTCTTTGATAGATTGTGAAGATTCCATTAGATCCCGTGTGGATCTCATGGAATAAAGTTCGCCCTAGACTGACGAGGGCCATTAGCTCGAAACCATGGTCTCTAGGTGGACGCTTCTCAGTTTGCGAAAGATTTACTTCCAGAATTTGCTTCAATCCACTTCTACTTTGTGTGACACTCGTGATATTTGTTCCTGGGCCCAGATAATTTATCCATTCCTTGTACCTGGTCTATTTCAAATCTGGGCTTCCTATGTTGAAGTTACATTCCGACATCAGCTAATTTAAATAGGTCTATACAGAGTATTATTTTCTACTTTCTATTCAAATCTATCATAATCGTTTTCTACTGTGTGAAACTATTAAAATATTAAAGTTATATTCAACGCGTTATCTATATATCATAATTGGAACTATTATGAAAGAATTTTTCTTTTTTATACTTTCCTTACTGTAATGAAAAATATTTGGGTAGGTCTGTCTCATTAGTGATGTAATCCTCCCATTGGTTTCGCCAGTAAATCCCCCCATATTGTTTCTTAGAGCTTTGCTATTGTAGCGCCTGGATCAGTTTGTATACTTATGTAATACTTGTAGGGTGGAATTATGGTTATAGTATTCAAACAAATGATGGACATACGCTTTAAGGGACAGTTGAAAATGCATGTAAATATTTGCATCGAGTAATTCTTTTCCGCGAAAAATCGTTAAAGGCCAGTTAAGGCTAAATTAAACCTAAGACAATGATACGACTCATATATACAATAAATATAACTGTTAAGTACTATCTTATATACAAGCATCAGAGTCATCAATTCTGTCATCGTTTGCTTTTGTGAATGGAATATAAATACCCAAATATGGCCATTTCCTATAATCATCGGTGGTTCAGTGGAGTAGAATGCTCACCTGCCACGCGGGCGGCCCGGATTCGATTCCCCGGCCGATGCATTTTTATTTTTACAATTTTTAAAACTCATTTATATTATTATCCTATATATATAAAAGTCAGCGTATGTATGTTTGTCAAACTATACACGTCCACAATACGTAACTACATCTGACTAAATTTTAAACAGTATATAAAGTATATCTGGAAAAACGTCTTAGTGAAAATTCCCAGGTCTCTATCCGAATATCCGTCGTGTTTATTGAAATTTGCTCTTTCGCTCGCGCCTCTAGCGGTCTGAAAATGGAGGGGTAATACCAGCTGAACCTAATGTACAGGTAAAGGTTGGAGCGGGACGTTTCTCAAGAGTGACATCACGGCCTCCAATTTATAATTGTAACGAATAGTATTTGAATAAAAATACTTTAATCGGGTTAAAACCGGGTTCATTCGGCTAGTTAAACAATAAACGTAAGTTTTAAGGACAGTTGAAATGCATGTAAATATTTGCATAAAGCAATTCTTTTACGCAAAAAAATCATAAAAAGGCAGTTAGCACTGAATTAAACCTAAGACAATAATTACGACACTTATATACAATAATTGAAACTGTTAAGCACTATTAAACAATGAAGTAAGCTTTAAGGGCAGTTGAAATTCATGTAAATATTTGCATTAAAGCAATTCTTTTACGGAAAAAAAATCATAAAATTCCAGTTATCCCTAAAATAAGCCAAAGGCAATAATACGACACCTATATACAATATTTAAAATTGTTAAGCAAGGCTTTTTAAAAAATATAACAAATTTTCTTTTGTCCTTACTGCGATGGAAAAATATATGGGGTGTCTGGCTGATCAGGTGTGTACCTCCCAGCGGTTTGGCCGATCTCGTTAGTTTGATAGGTGACTATTTCTTGATATCTTGTCTTTTGGTTAGTTATCTTACTTACACAATATCACACAATGAGGGTCGTAACCATATTTCAGTTATTGTCAGCAATAGTTCAAAATGGGGGACCCAATGGGTCAAAATTCGACAACCTAAATCCCGATAAAACCAAAATCCCGACAAATTAAGTTAGAGAAAAACTGAGGACGCTTATTTTATAGATATAAGATACAATTATATTGTCGCAATCGAATGAATAGAGGTACACAGAGCTATTTCAGCAGGTTTTATTATTAAATTAAGGCCCGAAAATTGAGTGATATCTTTCTCACCTTCTATCTAAGAAAAGAAGGAATATCTACAGTTACAAAATTTACTTAACATCAAACTATTGAAATATTTACATATTTTATAATTAAACAATTACTTTGATTTCACTCTAAACAAATTTCGCGACAAAATTATGATGCATAGCGCGCCATCTGTTATGAACAATCAAAACTATTATAGACGCGTATGATTCTTTTTAATTAAACAATTTCTACTGCCCTTACTGCAATGCAGTACTTAATTTTAAAAAGAATCATACGCGTCTATAATAGTTTCGAATATTCATAAGATACAATATTTGTTTATAAACATTCATTCACAAACACAGTAAATTCCTACTGCTTCTGTAGAAAAAGACAACTAAAACTCAATACATTTATCGATAGAAGTCCAATCTTTCACAGCTACAGAAGTAATAATTTTTATCCCATCGAAGAAATGTGCGAATTTGTATATAACAAAGACACCTATGTAAAATTCAATAATTTTTGTAAATTCATTTTAGATTTTATTTTCTGTTTGAGAAAACTATCCTTTCAGTTGTAATTTTGTTTTTAGTCTTGTTTATTGAATTGAATATAAAGTGAATGTATATATAAGCTGTTACAATGTATTTAGGCGCAAGTATCCCAGCTGGGATATCGCGTCCGATGTCAAATAACAATAAATAAATAAAAAACAGTAAAATAATTAAGTCAAATGATAAAATTTGTTTAGATTTCTTATTTGTTGGATTATGATCATGTCGGATATTTATCTCTGACTGGATTTCGGTCTGTCGGGATTATGTTTGGAGGAAACACCTTTAAAATATATCTCTTTATATTTTTCATGGAGGGTATTGACATGTACTTAGTTTTTTATTTATTTGACATATCGGACGCGATATCCCAGCTCGGGATACTTGCGCCTAAATACATTTTAGTAGATTATATACAATTCATTTTATACAATTTAATAACCGGACTAAAAACATAATTGAAACTTAAACGATAGTACTCCAAAACGAAGAGAAAATCTAAAATGGATTATTTTAAGCAACCTATATATAATTCATTATATACAACTCAATAACCGACTAAAAACACAATTAAACTGAAACGATAGTTTTCTCAAACAGAAGAGAAAAATCCAAAATGAATTTACAAAAATTATTGAAATTTACATAAGTGTCTTTGTTATATACAAATTCGCAAATTTCTTCGATGGGATAAAAATGATTACTTCTGTAGCTGTGAAAGATTGGACATTCTATCGATAAATGTATTGGAGTTTGTATTACATAATTTAAAGTACTTTCTATTTCATTTTTAACCCTTCTATGGTCTTGTGCCAGCAAACAATGGAAACATCATCCGCATAACAGATTATTTCAGAATTTGGGGATGCGAAGTTGATCAACAAATCATTCAGGACTATATTCCACAATAAAGGTGATAATGGTCCGCCCTTGAGGACATCCCTTTGATAAATATTTTGAAATTGTTGTATTCGAGAAGGTGAGACTTGTTTTTCTTCTCCGATTTAAAAGGGGGGGGGGGGGGGTAGCATAAATCGGTTTAGCATTCGCATATGTCACATATATAAGAATTAAGAAAAAGGAATCTCCTCATCGTACAACTGAAAGTTACTGATGGCTGGCGCCATCTATCGGAATAAATATCAACTATTCGTTGATTTTTAATTATTCCAGAATTGGCCGAATACCCATTCTTGATTAATTAAGAAAAACTAACCACGTACGCGTTTCGGGCTGTTGGCCCCTCGTCAGCGTGGTGCAAGCTGTACCTTAACGACCAAAGAATTGGTCATTAAGGCGTCCTGAAAAATCATGAGAGATGGCGCCAGCCATCAGCAAATATCAGTTACATGATAAGGAGATGTCTTTTTCTCAATTTATTCATCTTATCCAAGTACAATTTCACATTTGTACTAATTTTTCATATATAAGAATATATAGTTAAAATGAATCCGTCAAGCCAATTTCTTCCTCAAATAAATCATGAATAGGCCTGCTGTACAAGCGTAATGAATGTATTCAAACTCGTAGGTAACTAGTTTCAAAAGTTATAAAGCTATATATCAATTTATATAAATTATAACATTTAGAAAAGCTAGAGAGTAAATAAAGAATATGATTGGTTTGACGTAAATTCTTTTAGAAAAAATAATTCTCACTTTCTTAAACATTCATCAAATTCTTTTATCCTGGGATATAATTCTAATGTGGATCGCGTTTTTATCTAAAGCTGTGTCATCACAATTTAATATCCAATAGATAAAGAAATAAAATTAGGAAATAAATTCCTCGAAACTCTAAATAATCGGATTAATAATCAACAAGGGAGTTGAGGCAGAGGATTGGTGTTTAACGTTACAGAGAAACTTGCCATTCCCAGCTCCATGGTTCCCAAGGGATGTATCGCCAGGCTTTCGTTTAGCTACAATCGTCTCAGAAAGCTATATTATAAAGGGGAAACTATTGTCTATGTTAAATTATAAAACGGGCTTCGGTGGAAGGATGGTCTAAACAGTTGGTTTCCGACCGCTACGACCCGGGATCGAATCTCGCATTGGGCACTTTTTTATGATAAAAAAAAATGCTCAATGGCCCTCGATTCTTGCAAAGGTCCAACCCCATCAGCGAGTGCAAATACCCAAACGGGGCTCTGGCACATTTTTAAGTGCAAAGTCTAACTTTTTTCACATGTGTAGACATGTATTGCACTTACAGTAAAAGCAAGTCGCCTACTTCTACCCACCATGATTATCATGGCCTGTACCACGTGTACTAGGGATAAGCAAAAAATTAAAAAATAAAATAAAACAATGACTGATTTAACAAGTTTTTACATATTTTAAGAGAGATAATAATAAGTAACGACAACAAGGATTATTATGTAAATAACAAAAGCAAAAGCCGTAAGCATTTCCAGGCAAACTGGCACTCCCCCTTGTGGTGACGGTGGGAACTAGTTGGTGCCAACTGTGCTATCAAGCTCGCTTTCACCATTGAACCGGGAAAAAACAAACAACGGTATCATAGTAGAATTAAAACGTTTTAATTATGATTTTTAAAATATGAATAGTGAAGCAGTCAAAGTGAATAATAAAACCATGCTGATCAAGTGCAAGAATTTTCTCTACAAGCTTGATACCCTAATATGATTGAGTGGAGATAAGAAGAAGAAATATTCGTTGTCTCTAGTGATCCGACTGTGGTCTACGTATTCCTGTAATGGTGAATTTAAGTGGCGTATAAACAGATCGTTTCATTAGATGAGTTCATTTTTTAGTTTAATTATTCTTGACACATTCCATCGCATGAGTAACGGGCTAATGCTATATATATATTATATAATCTAAATATAAAAATATTCTATAATTTAAAAAAATATATTTTATTTTCATTCATTGATAGTCTAATTGTTTTGACCATAGTTTTAGAACACGCCGACTTTTATATACTCGTTGTAAATATGTAGTTATCTAACCTATTTTTGAAATTCACTAATATAGAATTCATTTCATAAATTCTATATAACTGTGAAAAATGTCTTATTGTAATTTTCTTCAAGTAATTTAAAATAAAAACTACTTGATAGTAAAAAAAAAAAAAAAAAATTACCAGCAATTAATCTCTATCTCAAAATAATATTTATTATAACATATATATATTGTAATACTATATATTTTCAATAGTGTGTAGGGTTAAAATTGTTGTTTTTTTTTACTTTAAAATTATTCAATTAGTACTTTCTATAAATAGAGTGCTGATTAAGAGTATATTCTTTTCCATATTGTCTATGTCCTTTGCAGCTAGGAAAAAACCTCAATTCGA